GCGTCGCACCTTGTGGCCGCCGCCTGAGCGCTTCTCAAACCCGCCGGTGTAGGGGGCCTTTGCGGTGACGTACACGGCGCCGGCCGCCTCGTCATCGCTGAAGCCGCGAGGGTCCCGCTGCTGGGGCTCGGGCGCATACCTGCGGGGTGCGGCGCGCACGCCGTCACGTTGCGCGGCCCGGCGTCCGCGTTCTTTCCGACTCTCTGCACCGCAGGCGGCGCAGGCCGGCCTTGCCCATGCGCACGCCCTCAAAGCGGCACGCGTCTGGCGGGGCAGGCTGGGATCGGGGCCCCGCACCCCGCGCCCAGCCTGGGGCACCGGCGCGACGCAGGTTCGACGCCCACCTGCGGCGCAGCTCTTGCAGGTCCCTCCTGGCGTGAGCAAACTGCGCGCTGAGGTTCATGATCAGCCACAGGCCCGCCAGGCCCATGAGCGCCAGAGCGGCGAGCGCGTGCACCAAGTACTGCACACGGAAGACATGAATGGGATGTTTCCAGGGGCAAGGCAGCGACGTGGGCATGACCCGCTTATTCATCGTCCGCCGTTCCTGCTGCCAACGACGAGTCCTGCCTTCTCCAGAAAAAATGCCAGCGGCCAGGCACGTCCGCCCGACGCGCCCACGGCCGCTGCCCCCTCCTCCCCGCACGCGCGGCATGGACCCTGGCAGGTCCATGGGAAGCTGCAGAGCAGCCGCCGCGCACCTTCCAGGTGTCTGTGGCCAGGCCGCGCAGCACGGGGTACTGCGCCGCGTCCCTGCAGATGCAGGAGGCCGCGGCCTCAAACACGACGTGGAAGGAGCCCAGGTTCATGCAGCTGGCGGGGCAGAGGTCGCCCCGAGCCTGGGGCCAGGGAGGGGGGGCCGCGGCGGGTTACGAAGGTTTGGATTTCTAACCGTGTGGCTGCAATATGCGGAGCCCGCTGAGCAAGGTCGGGCGGGGGTTCCTGGCATTTTCAGCGATGGCGTTTAATGCAGGCAGGGGGATCCGGTGCAAGCATCGCTCCCTGACGGCGGCGCCACGCCCCCAACGCACCACAGGCGCCGCAGCTGTGGTGGCGGGCCTGTCGCGAGGAGTGGGAGGAAGGGCAACAACGACCCAGTCAGCGCGGCCGCCCAATCACGGCGCCCCAGGCCGACAGGTTCCATGGCATGGACTCCCGCCCACCTTGCACAGCATCAATCCATCCACCCCAGCTGCACAACAAGTCGGGGGCAATGCTCCTCACCCCCTACTGCTCATCCACCCCCCAAACACATGCGACACACGCTGGCCGCCGCACAGTGCATTTTCAAATACAGTTCCTGCTGCATTTCCTTCTGCATTTCCTCCTGACGTTTCTACTGCAAATGCTGCTGCTTTTCATCCCAAACCACTCACTGGACGCCGCGCAGGAGCGCCGCCTCAAACATGAAGGCCAGCAGCAACCAGCACAGCTGCGCCGCGATCAGCAGCGCCACAACCACGGTCACCAGCCAAAGCCCAAAGGTGATGGCGCTGATGAGGGTGACATAAGACGCGTAGCTGACGCGCCCAGGGGAGCCTGCGATTTGCCCAGGACGCCGCACGGTCGTCGCGTGAGGGCGTGCACATCCGCATGCGTTACGTTCTCGCGGCGCTACGGCCGCGGCACGGCGGGCAGGGATCCACGATGTGAGGGGGCCCTTGCCCGGGAGAGAGCAGTGTCCCCCGCCCTCCCCCGGGCGGGCCAGCCGGGCGCCTCTCACCGCACTTAGTCGTCGGCAGCCTGGCAGTTTCCTGGTAGCTGCGCAGCAGCGACAGCACGACGCAGAGGCCGACGACTGCGCTTATGACGATGACGCCCAGCCCGGTTACCCAGCTGACGTCACTGGACATCTGCTCCACCGCAAACGTGCGCACGCCGAGCAGCAGGTCTGAGAACGCCTTGGTAGACTCTAGCGCACGGCGGGTGAAGATCGCCCTGGGGAGCGGCGCAGGCGCCTGCGCGCGTCAAGGTTGCTTTCGCATCGGCCCGCGCGCGCGTGTGCCATGCAAGGGCCGCGGCCGGTGGCGTCGAGGGGCGGCGCGAGGCAGCAGTCGCACGTGGAGGCTTGGAGTGTGCGAGAGGTGCGGGTGCGTTGCGGAAGCAAACTGCGCACCAGACGGGCAGTGCGGTGGTGATCATGACGGCACCGATGAGAGGCACCCAGGGGGACACCCGGATGCACGTGCCAAAGTTCCTGCGGTGTATGCGGCGACATAAATAAATTCTGGGTGCGGAGTCAGGGGGGCGTGCACCATCGACTTGCTGCCAGGCGGCAAGCGGCGCCGCGGGTCCACCCGCGGCTGCAGCAGCGGTCAACCAGCTGCACGCTGTGGCAGGCAGCAACGGCGGTGCAGCTGGCTACAGCGAAGCTCACCTGCAGTGTTCCCTGCAAGAGCGACTCTTGTTGGGCTCCTCCGCATCCATGTTTCTGCGGGGCACAACACACGCAGCGAGCCCGCGCATTCAGCACGCCCGCGACTGGGGTGACGCAAACACAAGCCGATCACACCCTCTCACCTCAAATTCATCTCTATAGCATGACCCGTGTACGCGGCGTTCCGCTGGGCCATCTCTCTGACGATGATCGGCTGTCGCCGATCCCGCGGGTCGGCTTCGTCAGGCTTAAAGTGTATAAGATTAACACGTTTGATCAAATGTGCGCGTACTGCAATGGAGCTGACATGCAAATGACCAGTCAACGGTGATTTCAGACCCGGCGCGCGGGCCGAAACCGACGTGGTCGGCCCGAAGTGATACTACGCGCGTATAGATACTTAAAAGCAAAGCACAAACCATTTGCACCTAAATGGCGGCCGCTGCTGCTGCCGAGCAGGTGGGCGGCCGCCGCAGCGTCAGCGTCGTCAAGTTCAAGCCCAAGCTCGCCTGGCTTTCGCACCTCTGCGCTGTTGATCTGGACAAACAGCTTTCAACACTAGCTGGTCGCACACATCAGATGGGTGCATTGATCATGCATGCCATGCTTTGATGTCCCGCAGGTGGCACGGCCGCCCTGGCGTTGCTGCCACATGCAAGCACGCAGCAACCGCCTTGGCCCCCTGCAGTGATCGATGTGATATTACAGTCTTGATGCAGGTTCATGCCAGCTAAGTAACTTGTGCCGGCTAAAGCAACAATCAGCGCTAAGATGGCCGCAGCTGGCCGCACGCCCGAAATGGGCGGGCACAAGTGTGCAGACCAGAGACAAAACCCCAAGCGACCGGTCACAGCCAGGTGCAGGCATGCCTGTTTGTCAAAGTTGCCATTTGCCGCAGAAACAGCCCCACATTTTGACCACCATCCCTCAGTCCTCAAACATTGTATCCACCAGTACCCCCAGGTGCAGCCCCCCGCGCGCCGCCTCTGCCTGCGGCAGCGCCGCCGCCGCGGGCCCCTCCATCTCCCGAGGCCCCGCAGCAGCGCCCTCCTCCTCCTCCGCCGCCCGGCCTGCCGCGGCCGCGTCGGCGGTCGCCTCGGTGTACACGCGCGCAGCGATATCCATGGGGTGGCCGCTGACTATAGAAATGTGGGCACCAACCACCACGGGTATGTGCGTGAACAGCTTGACCTCGAACGGAAGCCGAACAGGCTCGAGGCCGTGCGGGTTGCGCAGCCGCGCCAGCGAGGCGTCCCAGGCCGCCGCGTCCATGTCCGACGCCCCCTGCCCGCCGCCGTTGCCGCCGTTCCCGCCGCCGCCGCCGTTGAAGCCGCCGCCGCCGCGCCCGTTCCCGCCGCGCCCGCCGCCGC